TACATCAAGCTGTGCTTGATAAACAACAGATGAGTGGCGATGGATGCCTAAGTGTGTGTGTGTGTGTCTGGTGCGTGTGCGTGTGCGTGTGCGTATTGTGTTGCACGTTGCTGAACGTGGTTTACAGCTGCTCAGTGAGCTTGCTGCATAGCTCGGAGAAGGAATGGAGTGAGATGGTGACGGTAAGCAATTACGTACCCACTGTTCATGATGGAGTGAGGCCACAGCCCCAGCTCCAATGAACATGTGGAACATAATTATTGATGATCTGCTTTCCTGATCATACTCAAGATCCACACACTGCTTTAGTGACAAGCTTCCAAGACCAAGCAAACCAACCAACCAAGCGTGTGAAACAAGTACTGGCCAGCTGACTGACTGACTGACCTGACCTGACTGACTGACTGACTGACTGACTGACTGACTGACTGACTGACTGACTGTCTAGAGCACGAATCAAAAAAACATGCGAGCAGTGCAGCATGCGGAGCGATTAAGCGACCAGCAAGGCTTTCTTTGCGTCACCAGCTTCAGCCGCTCTCGCTGCTGCCACAACCTCAAGTAAACACATCGTGATGAGGGCTTCGTGGCTGCATGTGGCTTTCTGATGTGCAACAGTAGCTCTTCAATTCTGCTTGTTGGGTTCGGAACACTGTGCAACCTTCATTCACAGCGCACAAGGATAGATGACGGCATTGTGAACCAAAGGCAGGACTGTAAACGCTGGACGCACATCTCCACGGCAGCGTAGGAGAAGCCGCAGTCTTGGCTCACCACCGATGGCTACAGGCCGCCCCTCTTCTGCCTATCCCTTCATGCAGCACGATAAGTTCCCAGCTCTTTCAGCAAAGATCTTTTGGAGGGTGCTGAGCCGCGTTCACTGATACTTAGCATCGCGCTGATGCCGGTCCTTGGCGGCAGCTACAGGACCAGAAGGCTCCTTCCGGATCTCTGCTTCAGGCCAGCGCATTCCAACGTTGAGCCTGTGAGAACAGCATTGCAAGTGAACGTGAACAGCCTAGAGCCTCAATCTCGCCTGTCAGCGGTTTCGAGCAGCTGCCATGCCTTAGTTTGCTGTGCCTGGTTTTACCAAGGCAGATCATGGCGGCAGCTGTGGCAGGCTGTGGCACGCGGCTTGTGCAGAACCTTCTGGCCTCGGATCCCCCGCCCGCGAAACTTCCTCTTCGTCTGGTCGCTCTTTGCTCTCTGGTTGCTTTCCTCTATCAGATCAGACAGGTCCACTACGGAAAGATCTTCATTTCAGTCTGAGGCATGCATTTGACAGGGGCTTGAACGTTGCTGCAAGGATCTGCAAGGATAAACGGACATTTGTCTGTACTTCTCTCATCCTTGCTTCCAACACCCGATGCCAGAAGAAGATCTCTGCCTCAGCCTTGATATCTCCGGGCCATGACCTTGAGCACCCTTGCATACCCTTCATTTTTCTGTCGTGCCACTCGCAGTTTCTTCTTCTGTTGATTGTCACTTCGAGATCCTGATTGAATTCATTGCTGGAAAGTTTCCGAAGGAAGCTCTTTGTTTGCCATTCGTCCGAACGATTCACTTCCACTTTCAACGCAACTGAGAACTCAAAGGCTACTCGGATGCACAAGCCACGCGAAAAACAGGGAATCAGGTTCATGCCTGCATGCAGCTCATAGAATGCTCCCCGGCTCCTGTGGTGTTCAGACCAAAAAAGCAGGAGCCGACAGGACATGTCTCAAATCTTTGGAAGGTCTCCTGCGGACGAGGCTGTTGTGCACATGCCGCAGAAGCCCGGAGAGCAGCATCAGGCGGTGCAATCCTTGCGCTGTTACCCTGAACACTGCGGTCAATAGCAACTATTGACAGGTCCTGTGGTGACTCTTCTCCGCGCCTCGGAACTCTCGCCGTTCTGCATGTGGCCAGTCTACACCAACAACAGCAAGCCCCGGGCGGGTCTACGCAGTGCTGGCGAGATGTTGTGGCTCGAACTCCCAAATCTGAAGCACCTGCACACAAGCTCAATGCATACATCAGTCAGGGGCACGGTCTTGTTCTCAGCCAGAAGACTGATTGTCATCCAAAGGCTCCAGATACGGATGCATCGGTGGAGTCAGCGACCTCGCTCAGTCATCAGGCCG